TCTCAGCCTATATAATTTCATGAGTCAAGTCGTCATCATAAATCTCTTTCTACATATCTGTACACAGCCCGCCCTCCTATCCATGGGTTCTGTATCTGCAGATTCAACCAACAGAGGATAAAAAATTTTCAAAAAAAAAAAAAAAAAACAACAAAAAAACCCCACAATATATTAATACAAAATAACACAAAACAATAAAGTATAACAACATTTTTACACAGCATGTACATTGTATTAGGTATTATAAGTAACCTAGAGATGATTTAAAGAATCTAGGAGGATATGTGCAGGTTATATGCAAATACCACATCATTTTATATAAAGGACTTAAGCATCCCAGGATTTGGGGACTCACAGGGGAGTCCTGAAACCAATCCCTTGCAAATACCAAGAAACAACTACACATCCTACTGGTTCCATTTCTCTGGAGAATCCTAATACACACTTTTTTGCTTAAATATGTCAGACATTAGGATTTGTAGTAGCAAAATGCATTCCCACCCCCTTTTTTCCCTTATTTTCTCTAAAAAAAATTTAAAAACAGGATCCATGTGCAGAGTGTGAAGGTTTGTTACATAGGTACGCGTGTGCCATGGTGGTTTGCTGCGCCTATTGACCTGTCCTCTGAGTTCCCGCCCCTCACTGCCCCCCCACAACATGCCCTAGTATGTGATGTTCCCCTCTCTGTGTCCATGTAATCTCAATGTTCAACTCCCACTTATGAGTGAGAACATGTGGTGTTTGGTTTTCTGTTCCTGTGTTAGTTTGCTGAGGATGATGGCTTCCAGCTTCATCCTCAGCAAAAACTGTTTTCTAGTCAAATTTTTGACAAGACTTCAGAAAGCACTTATGTTTATAAAATTGAATAGCCAAACAGAATTGATTTATAGCATTAAAAAATAGAATTATAGTGTTATGGTTTAAAATAGCAGATAACCAAAATAAAAAAATCTTTTCAAATTTCACTTTGAGGAATTTTGGGTTTTATATACATATTACCTTTTCCTTGCCCACCCGTATAAATGTTAGGGGAAAGAAAGGATGCTGAATGTATGTGTGTTTATTAATGTAATGATATCATTATAGATTGTATAGAGTATATTTTTAATGTATAATTAAATAATAGGCAAATGTGGGAAATTGTAACTAGTCGTAGGTGAATGTCGGAAACTATAAGCTTCTTGCCTTTCTGAGACAATGTCTACCAGGAGCCCATAATTTCAGAATCAGTTTCCTCCTTCTCTCCCTCCCTCCCTCCATCCCTCTGTCCCGTCCCTCACTCCCTTCCTCCCTCTCTCTCTCCTTCCTGCCCTTCCTTCCATCCTGCCTTTTGTCCATTCTTTCCTTTTTTCTTCATTTATTTTCTTTCTCTCATCACCTTCACCTCCTCCATTACATCTTGTAATTGTTGATATGTTTGGTTTTGTGCTGTATCTAAGTTATAGGTTTAGATAATCCCAAACACTCATTAAATTATTCCTAACTTGATTTTTTTAAAGAGATGAAAACAAAGTCATTTTCCTATGCATAAAACAGACATTAAACCTGCAAATACGGCCTGGTGTGGTGGCTCACGGCTGTAATCCCATCACTTTGGGAGGCCAAGGTAGGTGAATCAGGAGGTCAGGGGTTTGAGACCAGCCTGGCCAACATGGTGAAATCATATCTCTACTAAAAATACAAAAATTAGCCGGGTGTGGTGGTGTGCACCTGTAATCCCAGCTACTCAGGAGACTGAGCCAGGAGAATTTCTTGAACATGGGAGGCGGAGGTTACAGAGAGTCTAGACTGCACCAGTGCACTCCAGCCTGGGCGACAGAGCAAGACTCCGTCTCCAAACAAACAAACAAACAAATTCTGCAAATATTTCTTGAGTACTCACTCTATTTTCTTATTCCAGTGGCCGGTAGAAAGATCAGTTACTGCTAGTGAAAGTATTTGAGATTCATGTGTGAAATATGTAATCTTAAAGTGTTGGCCCTCTGGCAGTTATGAAAATATTCCAAACTGTAGTCTTTTTTTTTTCTGAGTGAAAATACAAAATTAAAAAGAGATTAGGTAGTTAGGTTTAGGTAGTATCGTCAATGTAGACCAATCAATTAAATTCTACAGAAAAAAAAAAAGAAGAACTCATTTGGCTACTTCATAGTTACCAGGAGCCATTTCCCATCCTGCTCCCAAACTGAGGGCACATAGATTTAAACAAATTTCTAATTTCTCAGGAATTACAGCATTTTAAAACCATAAGTTTATTTACCTATTTAAGGACATATCTGAGTCAGAACTTAGTCACATTACTAAAACTGATTTATTAACTTTTTTCCCCCAATGATTGAAATAATTTTAAATCAAAGTGATCTGTGTTAAAAGTAGGGAGCTTTTTCTGCATGAAGAAATAACAAGACCTCGTAGGTCTTATTAAGCCCATATTAAGCCATTGTAAGGGTTTTCCTTGGCTTTGCATGTAAAATGCTATGTGGTCTACAAAAAAAGTAGCAAGGGATTCCTTAAGTTTTCTACTTGTTAAGTGGTCCAGTTCATAGTTACTATGGATCCAGTTCAAAGCAGTATTCTGAATACTACATAATAAAACTAGTTTTGCTCAAGTATTTTTTCTAATTCTGAGGTTAAAAGGGAAAACAAGAACTATATTCAATATTAAATTTTCTCGTTTACAAAACAATGTATTTATGCTGGAGTATTTTTCTTGTTTCTACAACTTCAGGGAAATGACAAGCTGGGATTTCAGAAGTTCTGAGGATATATTTTGATATTTTAATAGGCCTATTGCCGGCTATGATTAGACACTCAATAAATAATTGAATTGAATTGTTCGGGTACTTTCATTGAAGAGAACATAATGTAGATTTCTTTTTGTTTTTACTTTAGAAAATTCCTGGGAAGTCTTCATTAAGTATAAAACAAAACAAACCATAAGACCCACAAGGAATAAATAACAAAATCGACTTTGGGGCTATGGAGTTTGACTTAGCAACTTGTACTAGATCCTTTATAACAAAACCTCTCTGCTAATGTGAAGCAGCTGTGGCAATTTCACAAAATGGCCTAAACTGTTGAAAAGCCATTAAGGGTCTGATGTATGTAGAATAAAAAGGTTCATTCAGCTTTTTAAAAGGTTTCCCAATATGGAGTGTTATTTTATTTTATAACCAAGTCTTAGTCATATTAAGTTTAAATGCCACAGAAAATTTTAATGACCATGTGCCTGGCTTTTTGGTGAAATAGCAAGAATTCTTCAACATACCTAAAATTCTTTTAGAAAGAAATTGGTACAAATCTATAAGACACACCATGCAAGTTCCCACTATTAAATGCAGCATTAGAAAATTTAGCAACACATACAGGATGCCTTACCATTTATGCTTGTGGGGGCACCTTACTGAATTGGAATCAATTTCTTTAATCCTCAAGCACATAGAGTCTGCTGGAAATAATGAAAGCCACTTGCTTTCCCAGCTTTTTCATAGATCTGAGCCTCAATTATTAACTGTATATTTTTGAAGTTAGATTTTATAGATTGCGTGATTTAAAAAAAAACAAGACTGTGTCTCTTCCTAAGGATATGTGAAGGATTACACCTCCAATTCTCATTGCTTTTCTTCCTCTAAAGGTGGTAGCCATATGATGCTTTTTATGCATTCACCTGCTTTACTTGTTATTTTGAGTTTTAGAAGGTCTATCTTTGTGCCCTTCAAATTATTTCTAAGACAGCAGAAGTGTTAGCTTATTAATGTAGTCTGTATTCTACCTGCAAAGAGCTGGATATATGATTTCCAGCAGACTTCTAATTGTACAGCTACAAGAGCTGTAAATATGTTCCTTAGAAATGTCTTGTGAATTTTCTTGTGTTTTTCTGATATGTGCATCAATCTATATGCTACTCAGATGTATTCAGCTAGACTGGAGGTATTGTATCCAGAGGACTCCTGTGAGTGCTGAGGCCCACACACCAGAGACAGGCCAGATTCAACCTGCTGAACATCATCACTCTGCCATGTTAACCTGAAAAGCAGTGTGATATTGTGATTTGTCATAGGAAATATGTATTTGGTCTTCATCCCCATTCCTAGCACAGAGTTCCTAGAACTCTTATAATTTCATGAGTAATAAGAGTGGTGGAAGCATTTTTTGTGGTTGTTGTTAAAAAATTTGGTCTTTTGCCTTCAACTCCTGCGAAGCTCTAGAGCAATAAAAGTGAAAGGAGTGCGTTTTATTATTATAACAAGTCCATTTCAACCACAACTGAGGTTATGTGAATAAGGTGATTTCAGAAACCCCTAGATAATCACTTGATCGGGGGATGGTTGACAAGAGAACCAACCCTGTGGTTAGAACTTGGGGAAAAGAGAGGGGCTGCAGACCGAGCTAGTTACTACTGTCCAGTAATTTCACCAGCCATGCCTAGATAATGAAGCCTATGTCAAACCCCCCAGGAACGGGGTTTGGAGAGATTCTAGGTTGCTAAACACGTGGAGGCTCTGGGAGGACGGCGCATCTGGAGAGATCATGGAAGCTCCACACCCTCTCCCACATACCTTACCCTACACATCTTCCCATCTGGCGGTTTCCAAGTTGTATCCTTTTTTGTTTGTTTGTTTGTTTAACAAACTAGTAATTTAGTAAACAAACTCTTTTCCTGGTTCTGTGGGCCATTCAAGCAAATGGTCAAACCCTAGGAGGAGGCTGTGGGAGCCTCTGATGTATCGCCACTCAGTCAGAAGCACAGGTGTTAACCTGCACTTGCGATTGGCATCTGAAGTAGGGCAGTGTTGTGGGGTTAGCCTGTAACCTGTGGGATCAGATGCTAACCTTAAGTAGATAGGGTCAGAATTGAATTGAACTATGGGATAGCCAGATGGTGTCTGCCAGAGAACTGAGTTGAATTATTGTGGAAAACCTCCTCACACATCTAGAGATCTGAAGTGTTGTGTGAGAGTAGAATGATTAAAAAAAAAACATTTTGTTTTCCCTAATCAACAGGTCGCAATAGAAACTTCGATGCATAGGGAATAGGACTGGCCATTTTCCACGAAAATAAGTAAGTCCAAGAATTGGGAACCTAGAATTTGGTCAAGTGGGAAGGAACATTTGGGGACACTGATTCTCTGAGGACTCAATCAGCATGTGTTTGTGCAAGGCATTTTGCTAAATGTTTTGAGAGAGAGAACTGATATAAGATGGTCCCTGACTTCACATGGCTTAAGTCCTGTTGGAAAGATCAGATGTATGCATTTTTATGTTAATAGTAAGGCAGTGCTGCTCTATGTAGAGTGGTGTTCTCCCGGCGCATGGCGCTGGTGTCAGTGTGTGAGATCAGGGAAAGTGCCTATGGACAGTGGTGGTTCTCAGCACACCTTGCTGGGCAGATTGGCTTTGTGTAAGACTGAGCTAAAGACTGGGACAGGGCAAGAGGCTCAAACAGGTGCCCCCATCCTGCACCTGGTGTACCACACTTTCCCCACGTACATAATAGCATCCCATTGAAAGAGGACAGGGCAGCAGGATGGAGATCAACCTCACACAGTTTGGAAAGCTAAGGACTGGGCTATAAGGCACAGAGAGGTCTCAGTGTCTCACTGGTACTTAGATGCCAAGTCCTGTTGAAGAGATGGCACAGTGAGGGGGAATGGATGGGAAATATTTTAAGACTGAATAGTGGATAAGGATGACAAGGGCTAGGAAGTTCCAGAGAGGGAACAGTGAATGGAAGACTTGGAGAAGTCAGTGGAAGTCTGATTTTACTTGTAACATTCCAGCGTCTTAATAAATGGCCAGTGACGAACAATAAGAACAATCCAGATGTGCTACAAAACCATAGTTTTTCAAAACTTGCCAGAGTGCTGAAGATAAAATGAAACAGAAATAAACTAAATTCTAGAGTCATAGACCTTTCCAAGAGAGATGTTACACAGGTTGTTTTTAATCCCTGGGGGAATTATGAACACAGAGCAGGTATGCCATAGACTGGGGTAAGTGGAAACCAGCTCTACTTTTAATGAAGTCTTAATAGCCACCCATGGGCTGGTGTGGTGGACTAGATCGCCAAGGACCATCCTCCTACCGTGAGTCTACACCCACTTGCCATCTCTTTCTCACATGCCTTTTACTGAGAGCACACAGCTAAAGAGTCAAAGACTGACACAGGGCAAAAGGCTCAAACAGGTGCCCCAGACCATACCTGGTGCACCATACTTTACCTGAGTACATAATAGCACCCTTGAAAGAGCACAGGGCAGCAGGATGCAACCTCATGCCATTTGGAAAGCTAAGGATTGGGGTATAAAACACAGAGAGGTCTTAATGTGTCACTGGTGCTTAGATCTCAGGTCCTATGGAAAAGATGAAACCAGTAGTAAACTGGATCTAACTAAAGCTGCAACAAAGCCCAGAACCATCTCAACTATGGATTGGATTGACTGTCACTTCACACTCTCCACCCTGCACCATCCCACAGTAGAGGCCTGACAGAGAAAGGAATGTGCCCTTTCCTGGAGGTAAAGATCATTTATTTACTTGTCTCCTTTTTTTGTTTTATGTATAATGTCCAGCAAACAATAAAATATTACAAGACACCTGAAGAGTCAGGAAAATATGACTCGTAATCAAAAGAAAAAGTAGCCAACAAAACTAATCCATAGATAGCTGAGATGTTGGTATCAGCAGACAAGGACTTTAAAACAGCTGTAATAAGTATATAAAACAATCTGATGAAAAAGGTATACAATATGACACAACAGAATGATCTACAATTAGTAACAAGAGAAGCAGAAAAGGCCCATCTATCTCTCTCCACTGATCTGCTTTGAACTTATGATTTATTTGCTAGGAAGTTAGAAATAATTAAAATTACTTTGGTGAAAAAAAGGAGACTTAGAGAATTTGAAATAAACTTGCATATGGCTACTAAGGTTGAGACAAGATGCTGGGACTGTTTGATTATAATGTTCGACTTTGCCATATTTTTAACTACTTTGAAAATATTCATTCTATCATACTCCCCTTCTTTATGTGTTTTATTATTATTATTTTAAAGTCAAGCAATATTAAGAAGAAATCCGAATTAGGCTTACAAAGTGAAGTACACGCCACTCATGAGTTTTGTCCCCACATGCAATCTTGTGATCTGAGATTAGCAATATCATCTGTATCTATTAATCATAATTTTATACATAATTTTAATTATTTGACTTGATATAATACTTTCAAATTCATCTATGATTCATGTTGTTTTCAACAAAAATTTCCATTCAGTAATTATTTGGTTCACTCTTTGCTTACTGATATAGTGTTAAAAGTTGTATTTTATCAGACCTAAAAATTACATTTTTAAAAATAAAAAATGACCACTGAATAAAGAGGGTTTGTACCACACTGTTTTTTACTTGCTACAGTGTGATAAGTTTTATTTATTCCAGATCATTTTACATGCAATCATACACTAAAAAACGAATATTTTATAATTCTATGTATTCCACAGTATCCAGCATTAACTGGGTAGAGGATAAGCAGTACAATTACATTAATTAATCTAACCATTCAGTTTTTCACATTCTTGTTTATTGCTGCTACTGAAAATTACAAATATGAATAAGACACCACACTGCCCTTAAGTTGCTCGTGGTCTACTAATTGATTGACATTAGTGACAGGTAGAAAATAAAAACAACCATTTTTGATAGTGGTGTGGTATTTGTCTTCTTAAAGTATAACTTAAAAAAATAGATTGTAACAGAGCCCTCATAAACAATACCACACACCTACAACCATCTGATCTTTGACAAACCTGACAAAAACAAGAAATGGGGAAAGGATTCCCTATTTAATTAATGGTGCTGGGAAAACTGGCTAGCCATAAAGTAAGAAAGCTGAAACTGGATCCTTACTCCTTATACAAAAATTATTCAAGATGGAATTAGAGACTTAAATGATAGACCTAAAATCATAAAAACCTAGAAGAAAACCTAGGCAATACCATTCAGGACATAGGCATGGACAAGGACTTCATGACTAAAACACAAAAGGCAATGGCAACAAAAGCCAAAATTGACAAATGGGATCTAATTAAACTAAAGAGCTTCTGCATAGCAAAAGAAACTACCATCAGAGTGAACAGGCCAAGCTACAGAATGGGAGAAAATTTTTGCAATCTACTCCTCTGACAAAGGGCTATTATCCAGAACCTACAAAGAAACTCAAAACAAATTTACAAGAAAAAACAAACAACCCCATCAAAAAGTGGCAAAGGATATGAACAGACACTTCTCAAAAGAAGACATTTATGCAGCCAACAGACACATGAAAAAATGTTCATCATCACTGGCCATCTAAGAAAATGCAAATCAAAACACACAATGAGATGCCAGTCTCACACCAGTTAGAATGGCAATCATTAAAAAGTCAGGAAACAACAGGTGCTGGAGAGGAATATGGAGAAATAGGAACACCTTTACATTGTTGGTGGGACTGTAAACTAGTTCAAACCATTGTGGAAAACAGTGGTGGCGATTCCTCAAGGATCTAGAACTAGAAATACTATTTGACCCAGGCATCCCATTACTTGGATATTACCCAAGAATTATAAATCATGCTGCTATAAAGACACATATGCATGTATGTTTTATTGCGGCACTATACAATAGCAAAGAGTTGGAACCAACCCAAATGTCCATCAGTGACAGACTGGATTAAGAAAATGTGGCACATATACACATGGAATACTATGCAGCCATAAAAGAGGATGAGTTTCGTGTCCTTTGTAGGGACAATGGATGCAGCTGGAAACCATTATTCTCAGCAAACTATCGCAAGAACAGAAAACCAAACACCCATGTTCTCACTCATAGGTGGGAATTGAAACAATGAGATCACTTGGACACAGGAAGGGAACATCACACACTGGGCCTGTTGTGGGGAGGTGGTAGTGGGGAGGATAGGCATTAGGAGATATACCTAATGTAAATGATTGAGTTAATGGGTGCAGCACACCAACACAGCACATGTATACATTTGTAACAAACCTGCACGTTGTGCACATGTACCCTAGAACATAAAGTATAATAAAAAAAAGAAAATAGATTGAATAAAGTAATACATGTGAAGTAGTTTCTAATAGTGATTGGCATGTAGTAAGTCTGCAATAATTGTTAGTTATCTTATTATTTTTATTAAATCATTATTATAGAAACAAAGTAAGGTAAAGCATAACTTTAAAAATTAGATTGAGTAAAGTAATACTTGTGAAGTAGTTTAAGCATAGTGATTGGCATGTAGTAATCCCACAATAATTTTAGTTATCTTATTTTTTATAATATCATTATTATAAAAACCAAAGTATGGGAGATGATCTGAAGCTTTTCCGCTTGTATGTATAGTACACTACCATTTGCTTCATTCTCTAAAATGTTACATTTGAAAACTATAGGGGAAACATTTGAAGTAATTGGAATGGTTTTTTCAAAATTAGCTTGCAAAGCCTGTAACAACTAATATGGATAAGTTAAGCGATAGCTTCACAGTGGGAAATTTTCTTTTGGTAGCCACAAATTAGTTTTCACTGTATTTCAAAAGCATTAGAACTTGCTTTGCGTATTTGTACTTAGAGTGTTCAAATCTAGTTTGGTCAGCTTTGCCATTTCCATCATCAGTTATACATGTAATGCAGATATACATGTCTGGGTACTAGAGCTTACATAATTTTGAGGTGTCTCCTTAAGAAAAAGGGTTTGGAAAGAACTGTTTCGAGTGAGGGGCTCTGAAGCTTAAGCTTCATTAGATTCATGATAAATTGTATTCTGCTGTTGGTATTTAAATATTCTCTAAGGTCAGATCAATCTAAATTTGTTTTGCTCTACAAGAATGTACTCTCTTTTCCGTGCCACTTTCTTGCTTTCTCTTTAATCACTTCATCTTATTAGGCATTAGAAATACAGCTTCTATTGGTTATAAATACGTTAAGTCCTTTGGGAATAAAAGTACAATGAAAGAAATAGAAAATAACATATATTAAATTTCTTTGGGGATAGTTGTAATTTCTGTGGGTCTACATTTACGTCTACTAGATTTCCTTTCAGCTTACTCTCTTTTAAAAAATTCTGTTGGTAGAGTCATGTGCCTATTTTCTTAGCTGACTGTTAAGAAAGCCTTAAGAAAATTTCATGATTTTTTAAATTCCACAAAAATACGTTGAACAACTACTAAATGCCATGCACCATGTCGTGCCAAGTTAGTAATTTACCTACACTCCCTTCTGTTCTGCCCTCACAGTACCTTATATTATCTTTCACAACTTTCATTCTCTTTCCTGCCCTCTTCTGTTTGTCTTTAATATGGTCCTCTGTGGACTTGTGGTAGTGTCAGTTTTTCTACTATGATACACTAGTTTCTAGGTGATAATTTGACCACTGTATTCTTAAACATCGAAGGATAGCTTTAATTGATTTAACTACTTGGCTTTAAGCTGCAGTTCAATGTTCAACTGATATGATGGCACCATTCATAAGGGAAGAAAGTATGAGACACATAAGTCAAATGGGAGATGGGATAAGTGCTCCTATCTGACATCTTGATTAGTATGAATTATGTCAAGCTTATTTAGTAGTTCATAAGTTCACATCAGCAACGATAACAGTAGCCATTAGTGATGACCCTGAAAACTTGAGCCTTTAAGAGCTAGGATTTTCTTTGAAGTTCAGGGCATCTAGTCACCAAAGTTCAACTCTAAGACAGGATGAGAAGTAGAAAGTGGAATCTGTTGAAAACATCAATGGATCTAATTTCCTTTTTCACCATCATGCTTCATAAAGTTCTCAGGTCATTTTCATTAGTTATGGAATTATGATACAATATGAATATTGAATAAAAGTCACCAGTTTTATTTTCAAAGAAGAGATCTTAGTCCATCTTGAGAAGATAGATCTCCCTAGGGCAGAGGGAAAAGGGATCATTCAGTTTTCCTAGAACAGGGTATACAACAATTTCCACAGAGCTGCCTTCTTCAGTTTTCCAGTGATCATGGAAGGACCCTATAGAGGAATAGTAGACTATAGTCATTAGGCTGTAACGTGTCCAAGACATAGCTATCTTTTCATTAGTCAGTAGTGTTTCTCATGGAACACTCTCGGATCATCTGTATCAGGATCACCTGGGATAATTATTAAAAATGGACATTCCCGGACCCTACCCCAGATCTACTATACCAGAATCTCTAGAGATGGGTCTTGGAATTCTGCATTTAACACTGTTTCTCCAGCTACTTGTTATATACACTAAAGTCCGATAATCAGTGCCTTCTGAGTGCATAGTTTTTAAGTCCTGAAGGATTTATAAAATTTACTTTCTTATTCATATGTACTTAATGAAAAACTAGAATTTTTATTTTTGAACAAAGGAGATGTTAATGAAAGTAAACCTTGGTGGACCCATCCCTTCCAATGAAATGCTTAGCATGCCCATGGTGAAATTAAGTACCAAGAAAAAAGAATTATATAATTACTCC